ACACACACACACACACACACACACACACACACACACACACACACAGAAATGCTGTCCCACTGACACATGCACATACACACACCTCATGGTGATGAGCTTTCTTTGGCTGAACTAAGCACAGATTGGTTTCGTGATGCATGGTAGCTGTATGTGCATGTTCGGATGTGTGTGTGCAGAAAAGCTAATATCAAAATAGCTTTCAACGCTGCCTGCTTGAGGTGTATCATAAGCCCAGAGCTGAAAAAAACTGCTAAGACTGCAATTTATTCAAACATACTTCCTCTAAATTGCTTGGTTAATGACCTACCAAGCTTACTTGTTTACCTATTATAGGGGTTTCTTTATAGCACAGCCTCAATGAGAAGCTCCTTTTCAAGTAGTTATAAGACAAACAAAAGATAATCTTGAGTTGGATTAGTTGTTTGTCTTCTCTTGTTGTTTTTACATTCACAGAACCAGCATAACTCCCATCCTATAAGCTCCTTTTAATCAATGGAATATATTTTTGTCACAACATCCACGTAAATCCAAACAGTAACCCTCTAATGCTGGTGTCACAGTGTATTTAAGCAGCTACGGAGTTACAGGCTGTTCCTACCAAAGAGTATTTATGTATGCACTTCTAACAGCATGAGGGTCAATCTGCATGTAAATAATAGACCTCACCGGAACCCACAATCAGCTGGATCAGGGTGATTTCTCTACTCTGATTGCAATGTACAGGACACTGTAAAAAAAAAAAAAAATGAACTGTTTCATAAAAACATTTCTGCCTGTTGCTGATGTCTAGAGTCCAGAGCAGCAACACAGCAGATATGTGTTGAGGAAACATTACTGAACATAATGAGACATTAATTTTATAAATTCTGGTCCTCATTATAGTCATGGCAGGTATACTGTGTTACTGACAAGCTGTGACCCTAAAAACAAGCACTGTCCCTCACATTGCTCCTCCCTCATCACATCTGGATTCAAAACACCAATATGGCAACATTGAAACCACTCAACGTAAGACATGAAAACAGGATTCACTAACAGATGTGTTGATCTCATCCATCTTTTATATTCACAAGTAGTTTCTTGATAGTCTGTAACAAATCATGGACTGTGTATAAAACCTTTGTTTTTGCCTTGACCTTCTTGAACAAGAGTCACATGTACACTTGCTTCTAATAACCCCATGCAGTGCGTGGCAGCTTTGCAATGCACGGGGTTTTGTGCTCGCTTGATAAAAGGAATTTCATGTTTATTGGAGAAAACTGTTATTAGTCAATATGCAGTACATCCAGCGTTTCTCAGACTACACTGTAACCAAATTGTCTGCCTGCTGACTCACTCCAAGTCAGACCGGGTGACTCCTTCCAAATGCCTTAAAATGTGAAAAATAATTGTTGCAACCCTGACAGTATAAACGTGGGTGGCACTTTTGGCAGGACCTTTTTTGTCCTTTGGCATTCCTAGTGGGCACATTACCCTGAATCTAGAATACCACTATTAAACATACAATACCCTGTTAGACATAGGCATTCATTTGATTAAACTGACAGGAATAGGAATAAAGAAAGTGAGTGGGTGTGTGGAAAGAGCTCTGCCGTCAGCCTCGTAGCCTTCAGCAGAAAACAGCCGCTGACTTCTAATCATTATTGAACAGAAAACCACGTATTATTTTCATTACTGGTCAGCTTCTTTAAATGACTTTAGCGACTCATTTGGAGATAAGTTCCCATTGTTATAGTCTTTCTGTATATAAACACTACCTCAGAACTGAAAAAAATGTCAAGGTAAAATTACATTTGGTTAAAATTTTGTATTTGTATGCATAGAGGCTGCAAATAATCATCAAAAAAGCATTTCACGTACTGTATTGCAACAAAGCTGGGGCCTCCGGTTGCTGAAATGCTGGCTAATTGCAAACAAAGTCCTCATATTTAAACACAGACACTGAAAAGTATTTTCACCTGCAAATCACCAACTAAATACTAAGCCTCTCTGTATTTTGATTCCTTTGAAGAAAGTTTATTTTCTGGGAACAGCTTTCATTAACTATTAAAATGTGAACTGGCAACACTGAAAAGTAAAACATATATCACTCTCACGGTAACTTTGAACAAAAAGCAACCAAACTGAAGGGCCACGTGGGCCTGCTGAGACATGAGAACCTGAGAAACACCTATCTAATGAGGTCTGCAGTGTATTCTGGTATAGTAAAGGAGGTTGAGGTAAACAACTTCCTTTCTCATATTAGGTACCAGATACTCTCAGACTTTCTGGGAGATGTCCGTGGTTTGCTCACGGCTGTTCTCTCACAGTATTTCTCCTCATTAAGGTAAACTAATTCCCCGTTTCTGTTTGAATCTGCCTGCATGTCTGCCAATAAGACAAAATATCCTTAAGGCAATATATCATATACATGATCAGTGCACCAAATATGGACATTTAACAGCGTGCAGTGAAAAAGAAGTAATTTGGGAATGTGGTGGTGGTAGTGATAAACAGAGGGGTGGAAAAAATCTGGGAAGCCTTTTAGTTAATGAGACACATCATAAAAAAGACTAATAATGACACAATGTGAAGTAAATACATCCATTTGGTTTCTTATGGGCTTTTTAGGGGTCTTTCTTTCTTCACATCATATTATACTGTATGGTAGATGACTGTCTGGCAGTGCACTAAGAATCAGAATTGCTTTAGCTTTTTGTTTGGGCGACATATCAGGATAGTAACGTTATTTTTTAGCAGCAGCTTTCAGCTATAGATTTCTTCTTCTTCTTCTTCTCCTATACAGGATAACTTCATTCTGTAAATGCATGTCTTTGCTCAGTTCTGAACTTCATTCATTATAAATTTCTTTTTTTCTTAAGGAGACATGTTGTTCAAAAGAACACACTGCACCTGCAGAATGTCACTGCAAGCCTTTCTGATATAGTCAGTCATTCATCAGAGAGTTTGTTGCCGTTTTTAGTCATCAGTCTTGTTTTGGGTTCTGGTAAACATAAGCCATTGTTCAGCAGTCTGAAGTGGAGAGAGAATGTGTGATTAAGGCTTTGTTTGGTGAAGCAGGGCAGAAATGATGACTGAGCGTTGGTGAAAAACCTGTAAAAACTAAGCTCTCTGAGGAGCAAATACATGAATATTGGAGCAGGGAAGAGAAATTGTTGTATTGTATTGGAAACAGAATGTATTAGGAAATATGTTTTCTGCTGCTGGCAGTAAATTAATTTGAAATAATCCTAACACACAAACTTATTTTGGCTGGTTTGGCACGATGTCACGTCTGAAATTCGGAGAAGAGGCGGGGTAACCAGAAGAAATGTGTCCGGTTAGGTGTTTTCAAAACGGTGCAGGTGTTTCCTCCGCTTGAAAATGAGACGATAGACCACGATATAAGCAAACAAGTAAAAACAGCCAATCCGCTGCTTTCCTGCTCGGTTGCGTATTGGTTTGGATTGAAGCGTCTCTGTTGGGCACTGGGCTGCTCTCATCAATCGTACTGACGCTCGGCACTTGTGTGTGTGGATCTTCACTCCTTGGATTGTGAGTTTGAAACAACAGACCCAGGGCAGTGATTTTTTTTTTTATTAGATTCCGCAGTCTCTGTGAGTATTAGGGGCTACAGCTAGATGATAAAATATTTTAAATGCTGATGAGAGTTTGGCAAAAAAAGTGCAACTCGAATAGATGTGTCCAACTGCTGCTGGACTTCAGAAGCTATTAAAACACACGCTGCCCTGCCGGTGTAGCATGGCCACGCTGCACTATCAAAACAAAGGAATAACTAACTAATAAGAAAGCAATCAACAGGATCACCGTCGTCAGGATCGATCGACACGGCTGATTGAGGAGTCCACCCCAAGTCTCTAAACTGGAGCCTACTGCGAGCATCGATTAACGGATTTGACAGCTCACCTTCAGACATCTAACAGCCTCAGAGGTAAGCAGTGGAATTCAGGGTATAAAATATCTTCACTGGGCAATGAATTGGCTGCAGCGTATCATTGGAAAATGGGGATTTTTTTTTTCTTTGTCCGCATTTAATCACGCAAGTGCTGCGCTCAGCCCCACACCTGTTGTTGCTTGGCCCCGTCAGAACCAGCGGATGTCCACTCGTAGGAATCTGCGGGTGATTTTCGCTGCAGTTTTTTGTGCCTATGCAGACACTGTGGAGACTGGGTGAAAAAATAGGCTTGAACATAAGTCCGCATGATACTTCGTTTTCCCTTCTATGCACTGACATTTGCGCAAGATTTCAGTCTAATAAAGTCTAGCACATTGTTCCTTAAAAAAACAAAAACATGAATGTGGTTTAGCTTAAGCAAAATCGGGTTGAGATATATTTTCGACTGAAGTAGGTGTTTCTGAGACGCATGTGAGCTTTGATTCAAACAGCATAAGATCTGAGCTGAAGGTGTTTAAATGAGAGGGTGGATTCTGTTAGTGATGATGGTAGCTGTTGGAAAATGTCATTTCTATCACACTGATGACAAGAAAGCGCGGAAAGTGTCTGTTTTGTATGTATCTTGGGTCGATGTGAGGAAGGACTTCTCACTGTGGACCCCCTGCCGGGACGCCGCCCCCCTTCCACCATCCCCATCCTCCTGTTGCGAGGCGTCCAGCGCGCACTCCTGCTCCACACGGTGGCGCACGCTCTTATAAGACTCTCCCAACATGTTCCGCTCTCTGTGGTTTCTCCCAGCAGGTCCCCGTGTAGACCTGCAGAGCGCACTGTAAGCAAAACCCACTGGGTTATTGGGACCGTCTGTACAAAAACACCCTTTCAGCCTTTTTCACGTTACCTATCATTTTTCTTTCTATTTCCCTGTTTTTCGTCTTTTTTCGTCTCTAATTAATCTCTAATAATTCACGTGTCTTTATTTTCTTTTTCTTCCTCTGTATCTCTCCCTTTCTTTTCGCCTCGCCCTTTCTCCCTCTCTGTAGCTTCTCCGTGTGTACTTTGCCAGTACAGCCGCAGGCAGGCAAGCAGAGCTGAGTCTGTCATCGGGACTCACTAATGAGCCCTCCACTCCATTTCCCCATGTGGAGGAATGTTTGCGCTGTAGAGTGAGCGAGCGAGTAAGGGGGGGAGAGAGGGAGACAGACAGGAGAGGGAGGGACGGCGGGAGTGAGTAAGAAGCCAAGAGTGGAGTGTGAGAGGAGCTACCGTACCTGCTGCTCTCACTGCTCAAATATTAACAACGGATTTCAGGGAACTGATGCTGCTGCTCTGGGACAAACCCAAACTGTGGAGGCAGCCGGGTTCAGTGGTTTGTGGACAGGCACTGTACTGCTGCTGCTGGAGGCACTGCATATAAAAGACTGATGGAGGAGGAGGTCACAGAGCCGGATCCTCAGATGGTGGAGCCCTCCAGCATGCCATCGCCAGAGACACATGCGGAGGTAAATGGAGACTTGCCGGGCAACCCATACCTGAGGGATGATGGGACAGTGGACGTGGTGGAGAGTCCGGCAAGAGAGCCTGTTGTGCTGCAGTATCCTACAGAGTACAATCTCAGCCACCAGTGTGGGTAAGAATCATCATATGGGAGAAACAGAGAAATGGTCTGTTGCTGCAGGGAGCAGCTGATAATATGTGCAGAGAGGTGGCACTTCTGTGGAACACTCCCGTCTTTTCTTTTCTCAGTTTGGAGATTGAATTCAGCTTTGTAGTGATGGTTTGATGAATTGGCTTTGCACTCACTTGGCCGATGTTTAAACCCCTTGTGTGCCTTTGCTGCCCAGTCGATGGCACTGGAAGTCATAGAGCCATAATTTAATTTCACAAAAAGTCCATATTTCATTGACAAATGGAAATGTTTTTCACGTTATGATTTCAACAGAAATTTGTTTCATTGCCTGTTGTGACTTGTCACCTTGCACACCATTCGAATAGATAAAGTTGAATGATCAAAAGCAACAGGCAATTAAATAAGTGTCACCATGACTTTTGAGAAGGGATTACTTTGTTTTCAGGTCTGTTTTAGCAGCTGTGTTGTGCATTCGCTGTATTGTATAATATCGTCTTATGGTCACTGTGTTTACACAAACTGAGTCATCAGATGGCACCAAAGAGCCTCACACCACAGAAACACCATTGTAACCGAAATGACCAACTTCTGGTTTGGTCTGGAGATTATTTTTTTCATTGTTTTTATTTTAACATCTGTCATTTCTCTAATTGGCAATTTATTTTATGACCAGTTGACAGACTATGCTCTCATTTTAATCTCTGTGATGAAAAATGATCTAACTACACACAAAGTTTCTACTGCATTTATTTCTGTGGTTGGACCTTTTCAAGAAATCTGCCAGTGTAGCCAAACTTCAGTCTGTGACATCACATCAGGTGGTTTTGTTTTGCTGTTACATCTTTGATGGAGAATGTATTTTTACACAAAGCTGTCACTGTATTATGTCCATTACGAAGCTGATCTTGTGGCTGGAGCGGCTGCTGTTGGTACACATTGTTCTCCTCGTGTCCCGCTCTGTATTGGCCCATTGCTGTTGGCTGTTGTGCTGCAGGGTCTGATGTAAGAAATTGCCATCTGGCCTCCTTGTCATGCAGGAAGCTCTGAGTAAGGCTGTGCTCTTTCATCAGGTTTTGCTTTTTTTTTTCAAACGTGAAACCTCAGAAATGAGGACGGGCTGCTTTTGCACTTTTGATGCGGTCATGGGTCAATTAGTGATTTCTTATAGGAGAAGAGAGGTGAGGGATTCAAGGGACTGAGTTGTTTGTATAGTTATGAGGCAAAGCATCAGTATATTGGTGAAACTCAGTTTGATCATTTATATCACATCATATATTTTTTGTTCAGAGAGATAGTGACTGTTTCTGGACATTTACATACAGTTACAGCATGAATACACCTTAAATGGAAGTCCATTGTGCTTAAATTGTAGTGCTAAAATGGTATGAAAATTATTGAATTGAAAGAACGTATTTTTATTACAGCTCAATTCCATTATATTCAAACAAACATTAAAAAAGAGCATTTGGAGAGTATCTGCCCATAACAATGAAATATTTAGTGTTTTATAATTTTTAACATTTGGGATTGTTTTGGCTTTTGATGTGCATGTTCAACATTTTTTGTGACTGTAATCTTTGGCATCCAGTTGATGGACAGTTTGCAGTGGAATGAGTTCATCATGTCTTCCCGCCAGTTATTTGAGGACATAAGACATTTTAATGGCAGCTGCATAATTGCAGCGTCCTGCTTCTTCCTTTGGGGTCAAACAGTTTTGATTAGTCATGTCACCTTTGTATTATCCTTGAAGTGTCAGCACAAGTAATGCTTTCCCCGTAAGGCATGCAACTTTAGTGAGATTTTATTTATGTCTCAGGTGTAATAGAGTTCATTTTTGCAGTGACCCAGTCTTTACAGGACTAGAAAGTCTTAAGAGTATTAAATTGGTGCATTAATAGTTTGTTCTCCCTTCAGCTAATGTGTAATACTAATATTTAAAGTGATTAAAATGCTTTGAAAACAAAGCTGTGAATGCTCCAAATGGCATTTAATTTTCTTAGAGTTGCCACCTTCAAATAAAAAGTGGCTTTTAAAATGTCTTTCTTATATTACTGATTGTCATCCGTATTTACACAACCATCTACCATGGGTCATCTGTGGGAACTTTAATCATGAAAAAAGGAAACATGAGCTTCACTTTGCTCATACTCAACTTCAGCCTTTTTTCTTTTTTTTAAACCATGACTGTTAAAAACATTCATGGACTTTTATCCATCTGAGGAAGATCTGTTTTTAAAATCATGTTCGTGGTTAAGTTTTAATGTCAAGGTTTGTGGTTAGACATTGCAGAACAGTTCTGTGTTCTTTTTTTGAGCTTTTAATCTTATTACTTTTATCTTTGGGATGAAAGTTGAGGATCTAAAAAAATTAGAGACTTCAGACTTTTATCTGTGACCAACTCCTTCTCACCTGTCATATTTAGCTGTCACCTTTAGTACAGAACCTCTTAAAAAAATCAAGACTCTTGATGTGACCGCTCGGCCCATGATTAAATGCCACAGGTCTAATCACAGCTAGTGCGAACATCAACAATAGTGTTCAGTCAATTCATACACTGTCCTTGAGCCAGATTCTGACTCCTAGCTCACTCCCTCACAGACTGAAAGTCACTTTGTGTAACAGCATCAGCTAATGGCCTCAACCTATTGTAAAATTTGAGTTACTATCCTATAAAACTAAAGGGCGGGTTTCATCTGCTTTTAGTGCCATGTTCTTTTGTGAATTTACATAAAATGTACTTTTGGGCAAAATATCTTCTAATCCATTGTAGTAAAAATGAAACAATTAGTGGATTAATTGCTTTATGGATGGTCTCTTAAATGTGTGAGGATATGGTGCTTTTCTTAATTCTTTGTCATTGTGAGCTGGATTTTAGGCTTTTTGTCAGTCAGAACGAGCGCAGTGATGACATTCGAGCGGATCATGTTGAAATATTTCTAAAACAATCAGTGATTTAAATAAGTAAACGAGTGAAACCAGTTGTTTGTAACGGTTTGTAATCGTCCATCTTCAAATACATATACAGAATTTGTCATTCTGTGCCATTTCAGTAAAATCCTCAGGAACATCTGCTGATTTCTGTGGTTCACTTTTATCAGGCACTCGATCTGAGTATTAAATTCCATGATCTTGCCTCCTTTTCCCGTTCATCTAATATATATCACAGCATGCAGAGAGTAAGGATTAGATGAAGGGAAGATCAATTCTGATTTAAGTGATTACTGCATGCTTTGTTCCTGAAGGGCAAATTAGCTTCTTCAGCTGAGACCTTGATCAATTTAATCAGATCTAATGATGCTGAAAACTGTGAAGCGCTCTGTTCTACACTGTCTTTTTAAGGGGTTGAAGGTCAGTGTTTCATGGTCTCAGCACATTATTTCACACTTTATCTTTTCCGTTATTAAACACCATATCCTTGAGATATTTTAGTAAAGTGTTATCTAAATCTTATCCTTTCTTAATGTCCCATAGCCTTGATGTACGGAGCCCCGCAAGGGACATGGGAGAAAATAAAATTACGATAAACTTTTGCGACATCTCGCAAATGTTGAATTCCAACAATGGCGGCAGCTACTTAGTTGTAATATTACTCTTTCTGGGTCACTAAATAAACTTTTAAAATATTTTGAGGCGTAAATGTAGCTGTGTAAACGTCAAATATCTGCTCGGATTAGAAGATCACATATTTGAAAAAGTGCTCCGACGTTTTCGGAGATGTCTGACACCCACCATCTCGACGCTAACGGGAGGTCGAGACCTACTACAGCCGAACACCGTCCTCCCAGTCGGCTTTGAGCTGGCGGCCTCCGAAGAATGCGGCTAAAACGTTTGCGAGATCCCGAGTTTGTTTTGCGAGATCTCGCAAAAGTCAGTCTTAATTTTTTTTTTTTTTCTCCCATGTCCCTTGCGGGGCTCCGTACCATACCGTATTGATGTGTAATTACATTAGTCTATATTTATTTTTATATTTCATAGTCGTTTTTTTCTTTACATTTTGAAATTGAAACGTAAATGGACATATTTGGCATGAATAAATATTTTGTGCCATTAACTGTAAGATGTCAGTCAGCTATTTCAATTTTAACATTTACATTAATTTCCACTGTCACTAAAAATACTGTATTACACCATAAATATGTGCAGTGGTAGGAAGACTGCAAGTAGCCAGTATTTACACAAGACAGTATATTCCTCTACAAACCTATCAGGAAGTGTTTTACAGTGTGCATTTTATTTAACAAATCTTAGTCAAATCAAATGATAGCATGAATAGCACATGAGGAAGAGATCGAAGGAATTGTGATGGAGTGGTGTGGGCATAACTGAATCAGCAGAGTGATAGCGGGAAGTGTCAGATTGAAACGTGTGAAGATCTGAAATGGCTAATACCACTGACTTCAGTGCTCTGCTTGAAATAACATCATGCTTCATTTATGTATTCTAAAATGATTCTTTACTTTATGAATGTGTGGAAATAATTGAATATGTCTGCCACAGCAGCATACCAGGTTAAACCTAGTGTAACTTAAAGGTCATGCTTGATTTAGGGAATATTTTAAGGAAAAAATGTCACCATGTGATTCATTTTCAACCAAACAACTACTAAACTGGGTTTTTGGTGAGATCAGGTACACAGATGACTGATTTAAAAAAATAATAATAATAACAACTCAACAATTTAATTACTGCTGGTGTTTAAAATTCCAGCAATCCAACAGACTAATAATTCTAGCTTGCACATAAACTCTTACTACCTGTTAAGATGCTCAACAACCATCCCAGGAATGTAAAAAGTAAGAATTGGATTTCTGCTGCTGAGTGTCATTATGTCATTCATTCTTAGTCTTGATTAGTGTGAGCTTTTCTGCTGAATACAGAATCTAATGAAAGTGAGAAAACTCACAATGGAAGCCACAATTTTCCTCCACCCTGAGAGTACACACAGTGCTGTTTCATCCTACAAAACCAAAAGTTTGCACCACAAACTGCCTTTTAATTAATTTGTGTCTCCATTGTCTGCTTTCAAAATATTTTCAATATGATTCTTGTTATCATAATAAGCCATGTGTTGATTTCTGATATGAATTGAAAGTCACCCTTGTATGGTCAACCATTCTGATCAATAGTTCCCCAGGCAACACAAATGCAGAAAAGTACCTGTGTAAATCAGCTGCCAACATGTGGGTTGGCTCGTAGCGATAATGTTGAAAGAGCGGACAAGAGGGATGATTGTAATATTCAAAATGACAGCTGAGAAATGACTGAATAATTGATGAATTAGGAAATGAAAAATCCTGACATTACGCGCAAGAAAAAGCTGCTCCTAATAGGCGGAGCTGCAGACGTCTTGATGTGCATACTTATTAAACTGACAAACATGCAAGATGCAGAGGCCGGTTGTGAACTGCGAGGCGACAGATGGCTGATCGTTGTTGCAGGATGTAGGAAAATAAACCTTTCGAGATAAAAGAAACAAACAAAGAGGGAAATATTAATGTATAACTATAAACTCCTCTAAAACCTTCAATGAAGGCTAAAAAAAGATCACCCCTGGCTTATGGTTGTTGTTATTTTGGTTTTGCAAGAAGAATGAGCAGCATGCCTTTGTCATAAAAACCTCTAAATATAAACTAACAGATTTTGAGGGCATAAAATTACTGTAACCCTAAGAGTGTAAAATCTTTTCCCTTTTCACATTTAGATGTATTCTAAATATTTTTGTCTAAGCTCTCATAACTGTGAGATGTATGAAACTCTGATCTGCTGTCAACTTAACCCGTAAAGGAGATGAAACAATGACAAATGTGATTCTTTAGTTTGGTGCAGATCATTCAGTTCATTCTAAAAATCCTCCATTATGTCAAAGAAGCATTTCCTCAAAGGGCTCATCTAGATGAAATCCTGTCGGAGAGAAGGAAGTATCGCTAAGATCTCAGTGCTTTTACTTTCCCCCTGTGCCCTTGAGCTTTAATTTATTGAATAATTAATTACTTCAGACTCATTTGCACCTACATTGCACACAGGCATGCTCATATGCACCTAACGTAGACATGAATTCAGCACATTCACCTCGAGCTACACGCTGTGTTACTTTCCATTTAGTGAATGAGTTCTGTTTCATTTATGAAGCATGTTTATGCCGCGCCTATTGGATTTGTTTTAGCAGTGCCAGAGTCACAAATGAGCGAAACTGTCGCTTTAAAATCTGATTATTTCTTATTTTCTTCTTGACTTAAATGTAAGTTTTGTTTGAAAGGGAACCTGCGCAGCTAGCAAATCAATTCTCACAGTTTTTTCTTTTTCTGTGGCTAATTTGAAACCCTAATAAGTCAATTCTACAGTGATGTTGCGGGGACCATGAAATGTCACACACAGAAGCTGCTGTTTTTAGAAATGTGTAAGGTGAGCTTTTAATGGTTTGTTTGTTTTTGGAATTAATCCTCCAAGAGAGAAGACTCCCGTACAGCTCCTCTTTTCTACCCTCACTGCTGTCTAAATGATTTCTTCTATTGTCTCTCAGGGAGAAGATGCCGTTCCACCATGTAACGGCAGGCCTGCTCTACAAGGGGAACTACCTGAGCCGCTCGCTGTCCGACAGTGACAGCGATGTGTTGGCCAGCATCTCTGTTGAGGAGCTTGACGGTAGGACTCTTCTGTAAACTGGCTACTGTCCTCCCTTCCTTATCCTTGATGATTTATTCAAAGTGAATAGGCTGCTTACAATCTTCCTACCAACATAGTAAATGGCAACATCATGCAGCTAATATATTAATATTCATTACTGCTATATGTTGTTACTCAAACCTGAGAAGAAAATCATCCATAAAGGATCTTCTATTAAAAAATAAATAAAAAATGATGTGTTTTGTGTCTTCAGCAAAAGCAAAGCCAGGTTTAGGCTTTTATTCACCAACTGTTAACTTATTTATGCAACAAACACAAGTCCAGGCCTTGAGTTAAAAAAAACAAAACACACTTTTTAGACTTAAATAGTGTGACCTGGAAATGTTGCTGCATACAAATGATTATAAATCCACTGTGGCTTCATGTTTAGTTACACTTCATGCCAGCTTAAGAAGGGTGTAGGAACAGAGTTAACCCTCTCCAGGCAGACGTTGCAGATTTGCAACAGTTAAGAACTAACAACCTGATTACCCCACATACATATTTTAAGAGTTTTTTTTTTCTTCTCAGAAGTACCACTGCAGGACATGGTTGTGCATTAGCAACAAAAAACTTAATTTGGGCCTGAGAGGGTTAAAGGAAAAAGTTACAAAAAGGTCAGAGAACAATTAGCCTGTAATTGAAATCCAACAAAGGTATTGAACATTTAAAGAATATTTGACTGTGTGTAAAGGGAAAAAATTATGTGTAAAATAAAAAAACAAGTATTTTGGACAATAGGCCTGTCCACACTGTAGACTCTAAACCTATGTCGATCTCTTTTTTCCCCCCAAAAGAGTCTGTTCTGTTCATTTTATTGCCAGAAACGCTTTGAGAGACAATGCGGCGCTACAACACGAGCAGCATCTGCCTCACCGAGTCAACCAGCCACAGAAATGCAGTATTCTCTACATAGCTTATCTTACCAAGAGCATTTGTGGTCTGCTGGCCTCTCTCTGTCCCAGACGCTGTGTTTATGAACCCTTTGTTTTGCAGTATGTCTGAGAGTAATCACCTGGGCCCGTACAACACAAACCTGATCAATAATGGTCTGCTGGAGTCAGCAATAGCAACCTCACAGGTAGCAAACAAGCTAGACTTCCCAAGACCTTGAAAATATTAATCTTTTGATGCAACATTAAGCTGCTGCCTGGAAAATTGGCATTGCAAGGCATGGTAATGGCCAGATACTCTGTCAGGATGGAGTTTTAATATGCACGAAGGGATTTGCTGTGTGTGAATTCCTCATTCCTGTTTCAATGGGTTCACGCTGTTTAGTGAATACGAAATGATCTGTGGTTATAGGGTCCTGATGAGGTCCATTTAAAAACGCTATGACTGAGTCACTGTAGCCTGCCAGCACTGTAATTACTGCATAAGTATTTACCCTGAATTATATGCTGGATGGTATTACAGTGGGTTTGCAGACAGGTCACTAGTTTGAATAGTGAAAGTCAGTAGAACCAGGTGTGACTCACTCAGGCCCTCATAACTGATATTGTTAACAAAATGTGTCTCAGTCATGCAGGTTACTTTTCCCAGTGATGTCTGTGATTACTACCAATGTCCACTATGTCATTTAGAAATTAAAGAAGAAACAAGCTTTTCTGGGGAATTACATGTCGGAATAAAACCACGACTTGTGGTGAGGGGAGCAACTGTGTGCTTGGCTGTCTGCAGGTGCAGTGTGACGTTTTGTGCCAACTAGAGGAGATGAAGAGGGGACTGTCGGTGATGATCCTAATTTTTAGTATTGATTAGTTGTTGTTTTTTTAAAACCATTTTTAAAAAAAACAACTATGGTGTGGTAAGGTAGAGTTCCAGAAGTTATACATCTTACAATATTCCAGAATATTAGCCTGCTTTCATGTGTATTTGGGATCTTTGTCCTGTTGGAACATCCAGTTGTGTCCAAGTTTTAGCCTTCCAGATGTTGATTTGAGGTGAAGTTGAGGAATTTGGAGGTAGTTCTCCTTCCTCAGTATTCCATCCACCTGTACCAGTACCACTTGCAACAAAACAGCCCCAGTGCATGGTGTTACCACCACAGTTGATACAGAGTTTGAAAGCCTCACATTTTTTTTGCATGCAAGCACATCTTTTTTCATTGAGGCCAATCTTTATCTCGTCTGACCATAAAACGTTTCTCCAGAAGCCATTTGGCTTGTCCAAATGGGCAGCTACAAATTTCAGTCAAGTTTGAAAGTGTTGATTTTTGGAGCAGGAGCTTCTTTTTTAAGCCGCACCCTCTTAGTGCATGGTGATATAAAACTCAATTTATTGTGGACAGTGCTGCTAGTGATCCAGCAGTTTCCTGGTCCCTGAACATCTCAGGCAATTTCCGCTCATCTGAGGGTGACAGTTTCAGTGTTCATCCAGACTTTGATAAAATGGTGTCCAATTAACTTTGAATCTACAGTTGTTTAAAATTGACTCCAAGACACTTTTCTATCTTGTGTTAATCTACAGTTTTCAATCATTAGAAGATCTTTAGATCATCACTGTCTTCACTGACTCTGACTTTCCCATTGTTATGAGTATTGTTTAATCCAGTGAGTGCTGTCTAACAAATAAAACTGCCAGCTTTATTCAATAGTGATCACTGATAGGTTAATAGGCCTTGGCCTTGTAAAGTTAAACAACATTATAGAATCTTCAGCACTACTATTTGAGCCTGTATGTCCATCCAAAATAAATTCAAATGTGTGCACCCAAATTTTTTGGTTTTTAGAGTCATTAAAGATGTTTGTGGGGCAATCATTCCACTCTGGAAAAATAACAAACTTGTAAACTTTTAACCCCTGTAGCCCTTCAGTTTCAGTCCCCTGATACAGATTACTCAGCCTCTGCGTTCTGCACATGTAACACTTCTGCTTCACAATATTTACTGTTTGTCCAGGGGTATTAAAAACCTTGCAGCTGCAGGCTGAGCTCTCATATGACTGGTAGTGTGGAATCATTCAGCTGTTGAGTTTGTTGTTTAGTTTGTTAATGTTTTATCTCTCAGGAGGAGCTGCTGCTGCCAGCAGGGATTACTGAAGATAACAGCAGGCTCTTAAGTGTTTCTTACAGTAGGTACACCACTGTAAGATTTAAAATATGTCAGTCATTACGAGACTGCTGGCAGTTGTTCACCAGAAGCTGCACTGGAAGAAGGGCAACTTTAATATGTGAGGTTGATCCTGACCAGTGTTTTCACTCCATGTTACAGCATCAAAGAGAGTTCACGTTTCCGTGTATTTTATTAAAACTAGAATGGGGAAAATCTCTTGTAAGATGTAGGATTTATAACTAATTCTCAGAAACACACTCGATAAGCTGTTCTCTGATCATCTGAATGTGAAATATTGTTCATGCCATTCCACACAAGCCTTTTTGCAGCGTTGCCCTTGCTCTGTGACCTGAGTGTAATCTTAAGAAGCTCTAAAAGCCATTTGTAACCTCTTTGCACCTCATTGGTTTCTTTAAAAGTGGACAGTTTTTGTCTTATTCGTTACATAAATTGAATTATGGTGTAAGGAAGGCCCAGAAAAGAGCTTTTTGCAGAATAATAAGCCTTTCCTTACCAAGTACAAGCACAAACAACAAAACTTCAAGACTTTTCCTGCCCTGTGCGCTCTCTGGTCCATCCTGAATCTATCAGGGAAAACCATGTTAATCTGTGGCGTTAGATCCTGGAAGAACAAACTGAGCATTTATTACAAAGATGTTGTTATTATTACATGACTCACAGTAATATTGGGGCTGTGAAGTTTCACAAAATTGATCATAATCTCATAATATTTGAAAACTGCTACTTACAGAAGATCAAATGATTAACTGTATGCTTTGACCTTATGTGATCTCTTAGTCATGCTGTTGCTGAGTGAGGTTAGTACTCCAGGGTGAGAGTTGCATGAGGTCATTGACCTTTGGTTGCATGTGTGAATTTACAGAAACTCCTAGAGAGTCTTCATCTTTCAAGTTTTATGCAAATCAGATGACTTCATCTGTTACCACAGGGCAGCTTGAGAGAATTTAAACTAGTTCAAAAGTTTGAATTTCAAGACATAATGAATTTTTAAATCTTTTATGACTGAAAACTAAATTTATTGAACTATTTTCATCACACAGCTGACATTTCATTCAGTGTAATTCTGAAGGTGCACTGGGACAGTTCTAATGTAATAGCCCGGATGACAGACACCATAATATCAAATAGCATCGAAACACTCCACCACAAATTCAGATGAATATGCATCCACAGAGGTAGACCTGGGTGAGTTCACAGTTTTTTCTAAAGGTTTTGTGAGGGTGGTGCAAGAAATTCTTCCTGGCTCTTCTTTCACAAAGCATGCTGAGTTAGAGCAGATGGCAGGAAGTCTACGGGTAATTTAGAGTTCCTTCAGCCAACCTGAAGAGAGACTCAAAGAGACACACAACAAACATTTCCAACTCCAGTGGGATAAAAGAAGCTGTTCCCACTTGTTTTCTACGAGCACCAGGACAGTTACCAATAGGGAAGAAACTGGTTGTGCAATTAGCGCGGAGAGTACATGATGTATAGTTCTTGCATCCTGCAACAAACACAAAGAATCACACATACAGTCACAGTTTTCAATAAACAACTCATCTGAGGAGGAGCTTGGGGAACTGTCCATGGTGCTGCCTGTGTTTTCCTTTACCCCAGTCACACTGGATACCACAGTACAAAATCCAATACTTAGTCATTAACACAGCACCAAACTCTAATAATAAGAGTTGTTGTTGTTGTTGTTGTTGTTATTATTATTATTATTATTATTATTATTATTATTATTATTATTTAAAAACGGTTAAAATTATAATTTAGTCAGGCAGCCTCTGAAAAATGTCTTCAGACATTTATCTAACAATGTAATGTTCATTCATTGTGTCTGCATCAATCAGTTATTTTATTCTCTCTGAAAATTGAAGTCAAACTGCACTTGAGGTATTATAAATATACCACTGAATATTTTAATAATGTTCTTTAAACAAACCCACAATCCAAATCAGGCCTTTTGAGATTTCAGAAACAGAAAACATAATAAGAATTAGTGAAAAAAATGAAGGTACAAATGAATAAAATCTGTTTTCTATGTAACACAAATATACAACAATTTGTTAACATTAAAAATACTTAGATACATTAAAACAAATACCATTTTAAAAATACCCACGTACTACTGTGTTGGGGGTATGAATATAAGACCTCTCTCTAACACAGGGAGACAGGCATCTGCACACACACACACACACACACACACACACACACACACACACACACAAACTTACAACTAAAGAATCATAAATCAATCATTTATGCATGAGGTACACTGCAGGAAAACTAATATGTCTGCCTTTTTGTGTGTTTGTTTGTGTTTGTGTGTGTGTGTGTGTGTGTGTGTGTGTCCTGGGACACATTATTTCCAGAAAAGTGTCTCGTGTTCTTGCAAACGATGATGATGTTTTACGTGCTCAGGACCAGCTGGTTGGGGAAGCAGTAGCGTGCCATTTTGAAAAAGGTCAACAGGGACAAAGTCCTCTTATTTATCTACAGTTGGCATCTTCTTTGCTTAATGGCACAATTCATTATTTACACACCATTTATCCTTTATTATTCCCAATCATTTGCGAGAAGATAAAATGCTTTTAGTGTGTTACTTTGCAAAGCAGTTAATTGCAACACAATGTCATTTATTTAAGACTTTTTTTTTCTTTCTCATTTGTCATTAAAATATTTGCTATCATCCAACCATTTTTTGATTACTTTTATGCACTTGTGAGAATATTACAAAAACAAACACTAGCTACCATCAAATATACATTTTGTTTGCAGGGATTTGATTCTGAGTCTCGGATGTGATGTAAACTGATTGTGACTGTTTTTTATTGTTGTTGTTGTTGCTTCCATAGTGATTTGGTAAATGTCCTCTGCTTTTACATTTCCTGGGAAGGATTGGGTTAAAATGGTAAATGGCCTGTATTTGTATAGCGCTTTTCTAGTCCCTAAGGACCCCAAAGCGCTTTACACAACCAGTCATCCACCCATTCACACACACATTCACACACTGGTGATGGCAAGCTACATTGTAGCCACAGCCACCCTGGGGCGCACTGACAGAGGCGAGGCTGCTGGACACTGGCGCCACCGGGCCCTCTGACCACCACCAGTAGGCAACGGGTGAAGTGTCTCGCCCAAGGACACAACGACCGAGACTGTCCAAGCCGGGGCTCGAACCGGCAACCTTCCGATTACAAGGCGAACTCCCAACTCTTGAGCCACGATCCCCCATAAACCATCTACTGTGCTCTCCCGTCTCAAACTATTCAGTGCTCAACAGCGTGCTCATGCATGTCATGCAGTCAGTGTTCTTCAGAGAAGTGACATTCCTCTTCTATTTAAAAAAAACACCAGACGCCTGTCCGTCTCTCTCCCTTTTCTTACCATGCATCCTCTCTTATCTGTAGGCACACTTATGAAATATGTATTTATTAAAGCACAGTGAAGCCTGCTGACTACTGAGGGCTTGATCACACATCAAGCAGCAACTGAACCAGCTGTGTAAAAATAGGGCATTTTTGTCTCTGGTCTGAGAATTGGTGAGCTCAGCTTCAGTCGCTCAGATGACTAAAGAAGTCATTTGGATGAGTGATGAAACGTTTCTCCCACTGAAAACGGTACTTCCAGATAAATGGTATTGAATATGCATGTTCATTATCAATTTAAAGCTTTCTCAAATCATTCTATAAAGCAGAAACAGTTTTTATATGATGAACTTATTCTCTTATCAAATGAAGTGACCAGTGTGGGAAGTCACCGGGTAACATTTTGGGGTTTCTGGTGTATCTGGGTCAAGATTTTCTGATGGTCACTGTGTAAGAATGCAGATCCACTCATCCCTTGTCTTCACTACACTGTCTTCACTGCTTTACTACACATACATTCACACCTGTGGCTGTGGGAATAAACTTTTTTTTCGTTCTGTGATGATGAATGGTCCATTAACAGTGCAAAATTTTAACATACCTTGTGAGTTTAAAAACACTGTGCAATGATAAACGGTGGCGACAAAAGTAGTCCTTCTCTGACTGTATGTTTGCAGTCTTATTCAACAGAAGGCAAACTACACTGTAAAATGATCATTTAACTGAATCAACATTGCTTTCAATCGCAAAAGAAGCTGAACGTTACACACGAGCTTCACCAAATTGGTATTTTCAGTTTTATTATTCCCCTGTAGTTTATCTTCCCTGCTGTTACATGTATTCTCATAAGCACTGGTGACTCGAACAGCCAGAACATGCTAAACCACACTACAGCAAAAAACAAGGCTTCAGTGTTTATTAGGCAACAACAAAGAAGGATGTTTAGCAGGATGGGAAGATGAATTTCTCTTATCTGTTGAATAGCATAGGTAGGGGTGTTATTCTACACAGTAAATGGTTCTATCGACTGAAGGAAAAATCCAATATCCTAAAGGTCACAAATTTAACGCTTGTAAGGGACGAAAAGCAGTGAAGCAAGTCCCACTCTAACTACCTCTTTTAGCGTAGCTTTGGATGATTGAAGCAGACCTAATCTGCTCATTTTAGATTTTATATTTTTATTCTTTGACTCGACATAATATACAGTTAAAAATAATAATAAGTTGCCTCATAATTGGCCTCAGTGCAGTTCTTAATTTCATTCATTGACTGAAATGAACCACTTGAATGCCTTTTTCCTCCCACTTTGAGCCAAGTTTCTCCTGATTGGCTGCCCCTCATAGACAGAAGGTTTAAATAGAAGGTGGATTCAGCTTTTCTGTTCACAGCCAGAACTACATGTCTGAGTTGACCCTATTAGGGACATTAGAGCATTCTGAAGTGTGAACCTTTGGCTCAAATTGATTTCTTTTTTTAAATACATTCCTCAAAAAGCAACAATCAAAGATAATATCATATACCAGCAGGTTACAGTGGAGAAGGTGAAATCATGAACAGCTGAGGTGACAGTGGCTGTGACAGCAGGTGGAGAAAATGAATCAATGGTCTGAATTGATCTTGTTAACTTGAGGCAGTGGTGCGAGACCAATTGCATCACACAGCCCAAAGCTAGGTCAGACAGGAAGTAAGGGAGAGGGAAGAAGATAGAGGAAGGACTGTGGATGATGATGATGATGATGAATGAGGTGAAAGTTTGACTTCATTGAATGTATTGTGAAATAAGTCTCAAGAAGCATATCATCGCCAAAGAAAGGAATCCCAGAAATGCGAAAGACCAAGCAAAATAACTACGCTGAATAAGTGTTTGATTCCCGAAACTGGAGGCAGGAGGGGTAAGCCCTATTTATAGATGCTGAGTCGATATCCTGTTTGTCTTGGCAGAGATCAGAGAGGCGTTTAAGGTGCTGGATCGTGATGGAAACGGGTTCATTTCCAAACAGGAGCTGGGCATGGCCATGCGGTCTCTGGGTTACATGCCCAGTGAGGTGGAGCTGGCCATTATCATGCAGAGACTAGACATGGATGGTGAGTCACATGTACACACACACACATGTAAAAATGCTCTGTGCAGTGCAGAATGGGATCCTCCCTCATGTGTTGCATAATAAAAATGTACACACCGTCAGTTTTTATTGTCTTATCAACGGGTAACTTCACAAATATCTACGGTAAACTGCAATGTTTCTCTGTTCACTCTTTAGGCTTCAGATGCACTGATTACATCTCCCACCGTCTCATGCATAAAACATTTATTCATGCCTGCATGACTTTGTACTATTCTTGTTTTCAGCTACTTGCTTTATCCTCTTGACACATTGAATTATCAAAGTGAAATTGATGCCCAAGGAGAGCAAAGTAAATGAAGAAATTTGGAGATTAATCAAAAGTATGCATGCGTGAGATGGGCATAGTTTTTGTCGGTTAGGTGGGTTTTCACAATGGTTGCCCAGCAAGTACAGTTTGTATAATGTCATTGTAGTTCCTTCATAACTTGACAGTCTGGTGTGTGAAAATACATTTAAAAAATGCATTATAACAACAACATGTATAAGATTCTTGCAACATAAAGAAATTAGCTGAGTTTTATTTCTGCAGCACTGTCCTCACCTGAGACATTTGAACTTTTTTGTCCTCAGAGAGAACACTCTCAGCACCAAGAAAATACAAACTTAAGCTTTCTCTTCTTTTGCACAGAGCATTTGTGCCAATACGGTCGTCTGCGTTAACTGTGACTGACATTTAATAAAGGGTAGACTCTTAAAATTATATAAGACTGGGATGGGAAAATGCAATATGCAAATGTCAGATTGCTGAAAAAATATTCACATTTTTCATGTTTCTATCAGAGGCTTTGATAAGTGCTTTTCAGTCTCAGAAAGAGTGGAATACTATAAATGTTCAAGGCTGAATATTAAAGTTTAAGAAGTTAGACTGCCTTTATGCTTCTGACTCATCCACCACAGAATCCCCAGAGACCCTAACTGCTGCTGTGCCTCAGGGCCGGATCTTGTTGCATCGTCTGCCGCAACCAGAAGTTGAGGTTACTTTTGTCACAGCAGCTTTTGTCACCAACATCCAGAGCTGTTTGTTTATTTATTCCCTTTCTTGTCATTTATCTTAGTGTATTGAATCTAAGTTTGCTGTGGTTTCAAAAACCTATTTTAATCAACTAGGTCAATTTGTTTGTATCGATAAATGTCTTTAGCAAAATACTGGGGATTTTTCTTTATTTGGGCAACATTGAATGCTGGAGCTGGCTGAATACAGAGTCAGGATACAGTCTAATTTTGAAAATGAACATAGAATAAGGTAACTCGGATCAAAAATGAGATGGCACTAATGCAGGAGGCCAGTAGGAGGTAGGTTGTGTTTCCAAATAGGCTTAAAACATGGAACTGTGGAGTACTGGGAGCTTAACTGGAAATGTTATGGGTATTGTCATCTGCCAACACACACATCAAATCCTCCATGAGCTAAATGACCTCAAAGAAACACACAGTGCACAAACAAATATAAGAAAAGAATTCAGCACATGTTGTTTGAAAGAAATTATTTTGCAATTCAGCAATTCTCTTCTCGTGTGTATGTCCAGCAATGTATTGATGAAGAGTGTCAAGGGGGCGCTGAATGAGGGAGAGTAAGGGTATTAGCAGATGAGTGGGAATGGATGATGGTGATTGTATCCTGGCCAGGTGGGCAGCTGTGAGGCTCTTTCACAGCCATTGATTCTTTGCCCAGCTGCCAACTCCAGCTGATCTCCAGAAGATACTGATCGGTTATGTGTTCTGCTTCTCTCTTCTGCCAAACCAATCCATGTGATAGTTGCTGAGCTCTGTTTGCCCTTCGTGCAGAGGTGTGACTCCTCTTCTTTGTTCCTAATCACAGCATTGCACCAGTCTTTGTTGTTCACTCAGATTACACTTGTTCTTTGTTGTACTGATAATGGTCATGTCTTCAATCTGTAAATTCTGAATACCAACATTTGCTTTTATTCCCTCCTGTCATTTGCCTGATTTGTTATCTTGACAGTGAGCAGGATTCTGCATATTTCTTTAATAATTCATTGTTCTGTTTCCAGCTGAAATGAAATGCTTGGTTGTGACATAACACAGGAAGAAACTGTTCAAAAGCAGGTGGCTTGGGCTATGACAGACACAGAAAGTGACTCAGTGACTTTGTGCATAATGTTCAGCTGTCAGAAACTGCGGATACATCAAAATGGGAGCTGAGATGCAACTGTGGTGTTTTAGGGAAGAGTGAATTACCCTGTACTGTGGTTTGTTTGTTTTTCTTTGAGGCTTTGTGCATGTTTGGTACAGCATCGAGGAATAATTTAAACAGTAGTAATTATCAAATTGGACAATCAACATGGCTTGTTGTCAGTCAGTTTGCACACGAGTTTTTATCTGGTTTATCTTCTGTAATGGAAATAAAAACTTTGGGTGCTACTAAAACAACTGAACTAATGAATGTGTTAATGCACGTTGTAGAAGTATTCATGCACACAGGCTTGGAATTACATAAACCGATACAACAATGTAGCAAGAAGCAAACTGAACACATTGTTTCCCAGAGGAGCTGCCTTCCTGACAGCACCACTGGGGAGAAACAGCTTCTTAGAAGTGGAGGGAATAAAATGTGCAACACTGGGGTAAACTATTTAATGCTCGCTGTAGTAATATGCACATAATTCAGCGGATTTTGTGTGTATTGCTAAATACTGAGATTGTTCATAGTTATGTAAGTTATGTGGCGGGGCTTGATCAAACTTGTTTGTCCAGTACATCCCACAGATGCATGATTGGATTGAGCCTGGGAAAATTTTGAGGCCAAGTCAACACCTGAAACTCACTTTTGTGCTCCTCAAACCATTTCTGAAGCACTTTTCCTTTGTGGCAGGGCACATCATCCTGCTGAAAGAGGCCATAGCCTTTAGGGCAGGGGTGGGCAATTCCAGGCCTCGAGGGCCAGCGTCCTGCAGGTTTTAGATCTCACCCTGGGTCTACACACCTGAATAAAATGATTAGTTCATTACCAGCCTCTGGAGAACTGCAAGACATGTTGAGGAGGTAATTTAGCCATTTGAATCAGCTGTGTTGGATCAAGGACACATCTAAAACCTGCAGGACACCGGCCCTTGAGGCCTGGAGTTGCCCACCCCTGCTTTAGGGAATACCGTTCCCATGAAAGGATGTGCATTGCCTGCAACAATGTAGGTGGTAGATGTCAAAGTAACATTCATATTCAACATAAATGGCAGAAGCCAGAGTTTCCCAGCAGAACAATCCCCAAAGCAGCACACTGCCTCGGTTGGCTTGCCTTCCTCTTATAGTGCATTTTAGTAGCAGGTATTCCCCAGGTAAGTACCCGACCAGCCACATGATGTGAAAGAAAACAAGATTCTTCAGACAAGGCAATCTTTTCCATTGCTCCATGGTCCAGTTCTGATCCTCACATGCCCATTGTTGGTGCTTTTGGCAGCTGACAGGGGTCAGCCTGCCTGCAGCTATGCAGTCTCATCCAAACTGTAATACATTGTGTATTCTGACACCTTCCTATCAGAACCAGCATTAACTTTTTCAACAATCTGAACAACGGTAACTCGTCCGTTAGATCGGACCACACAGGCCAGCCTTTGCTCCCCACATGCATCAGAGAGCCTTGGTTGCCCATGACCCTGTCTCTGGTTCCCCACTGAACCACTTTTGATATAAATGCTGACCACTGCAAACTGGGAACACTCCACAAAAACTGCAGTTTTGGAGATGCTCTGATCCATTTGTCTAACATTCACAATTTGGCCTGTGTTTAGACTCACTCAGATTGCTTGCCTTTTTCCCCCCTGCTTCTAAGACATGAACTCTGAGGGCAAAACATTCACATGCTTCCTAATATAACCCACCTGTTAACAAGAGCCATGATAAAGAGACATCTTTTGTTATTGTTTTAGTGGTCACAATGTTATGCCTGATCTGTGTATATATTATCTCCTATTGTCCTTTGTCATGTCATCCCTCTTTGCGGTTTGTTTCCTTGCCCTGTGTGTTATGATTTTTGTACATTTTGGATTCCCTGCTCTGTGAATTGGATTACCTGTGAGTGATCAGCATTAAAGGTGGATTTTGAGTTTATTTTCTGTCTGCCAAGTTCTGCATTTGGGTCCACGATCTGCCTTCCATGCAGCAAATCCTTAAGAGTCACTTTAACTCACTTTTTAGTTGATGGGTTTCTGAGGAGCTGTCAAAAGAGAGCGGAAAGTTTTAAAAATGTTCAATTTTTGGCATGACAGACAAATTGAGCAAACACAGAGAGGCAAAGATTTCAGTGACAAATTAATTTAAACCACATTTCTCAAAGATATCAGTCAAAAAAGAAAAGTTACCACCTATGTTCAGTAGTTTAGGCGTACTAGTTGAAAGTAGTAGGGGGAGGATTTTGGATTATTCCATAAGGTTTAATGTTTGTAGGTGTTATGGTTTGTGTGTTTAACAGTGTCTGTCCTACTTGGACCTCAAATAAAATTGACACAATCGTACGGGCATCTCAGGGCATCTCACATGGCCCCAAATGCCTTCAACAGCTAATTAACAGCTGACACAACCATTTAATGCAAGTTATTCCCCAGCTTACATTCTCCTTTTTCCTTTTTTATCACATTCTTTTACTATTTACAGCATTAAAAAGAAAATAACCTTCTAAAAAAAGAAAATAAAGGAAAACTTTTATTTTAATTCTTTAAGCCCATCAGTTCGTTCCAGTAAATGCAGACTGTCACTCCTGGGAAAGCAGGTGGCTGAGTGGAGTGCTATTTTAGTCATTACTTCAGAGCTACTTTAGAATTATTCATTCTGAAGCGGTTTCCTTCATGCCCCCATGCTTTGTGAGGAGCTTCTTCATATTCCCTAGAGCAGAAAATATCCTAGGATTGCCGCAAACAGGTATTTAACTCGCTGATCATTCGTTCATTCATTTATTTTTTTCTGCCCACTTGATTTCCACTCTGGACCTCCAGGGGGGCTGCAGCCTCTGCAGTGCAGAGTGCACCTTGTGTGGGAGGTGCATGTTACAATATGGCATATGGAGTATTATGATTCATCTTTGGTATTGGTGGTGGTGTCTTTTTTCCTGAGATGCTTTAGTCTTACCTAGTATAAAAACAATAGTGGCGCTTTAAACAACTTCCCATAACATGTGTGTATACTAGTCTGTTCTAAATGTATGCATGATTGTTTTTCATCCTGTCTTACCTTGAACCCTTTCACCCAGTCCACCTTCACCTCTACTGTCATCCATCCATCTTCCAAGCTTGACATCCTCGAATCCTGATGTTGCTTCATCTGGCCTGTAGCCCTGCATTTGCCCTGCTGAATATGTATGGGCAGAAGTCAATGACATGTTACTGTGCCAAGCATCCTCCAGAGTGGGTGTCGCTATTGAAGGGAGTGGTAGGGGCAGATAGAGGCGTCCTGCATCAGTAACTTTCCACTGACAAGGCCCAATACTCATCTGCACATAAAGCAGGAGCAGGTGGGAAGAAGAGAGAAGAGCAATTAGTTTACAACAGTGACAGAGAAACACAGGACACAAAAAAGAAAAGAAAGACAAACTAGGTTTTGAAAGACCAAAGATGACAAAGAATTCAACGTGTTTTGTTGTTCAAAATCAACTTTCTCTTTATTTAGGTTTTATGTCATGCCTTTGTTCAATAGGACTGAATTCAGAGTGTGTCTGTGAGCAAATTTATTTGAAATCCGGAGACTGCAATTCTCTATGGGATTTGGTGATTTTGTTTCCAACTCATCTCATTTTTCACAATTCCCATGACCTATAATGTGCAGCAACTATTGTCAGTGTAGGTTTGGGTCATTTAAACACTGAAACTATGAAACCGGGCAAACGCTACAGAGGGAAGATAATCAAACCCTGCTGGGGGTTTCATTATATAAGACAAAAAAGGCTATACATTTAAGGGCATTCAGCTGGATCAATATAAAACTCTGATCTGTTTGTTTGAATTGTTCCCGTCTTCAAAGTTTTGATGCTTTGTTCTGGCAGTAGCTGTAACAACTATCAGCAGGCATCTGAGATCAGTGCTGCTGGAATTGATGTTCACTGCAGGACTCCATGTTTTGAGTGATGAAGTAGCTGCAAACTTTGATCTGCTCCACAGTCTGCATTATAGATCTAGTCAGAACTCAGTTTTTTTTCTTATGTCTCATCTCAATAGTAAATGTCATATTGAACTGTGTTATTTGAAGCATGCTGGCTCAAATAATATAGGGCGAAGACAGCGCAGCATCCAGAATTCTGTTTATGGTGGAACAACACTTTCTCCCACACATTGTAGAAACCTTTTGAATCCCCAGAGGCCTCAAGACTGTCTATACATTCACTTTTTTCCAAGAGGCCAGTCAAACTGGCCACATTCTTAATAATGCATAAATTAACTTTGTATTTAAACTGTAAAAACTGCACCCTCCACATGCTTTTTAATGAAAAGGAAGTTGCTGCATAGATCAAAATTTATTTTTTCTACCAGGCTGTAAATATGTGTATTTGTCCTTGATGTAAATATGTAAAAATTATGTATGTTTCTGTTCTGTGTCTTGTGTACTGTTAGTTTGTATATGTGTCTTCTTGCTGCTGTTACACCCAAATTTCCCCTTGTGGGACAATTAAAGGATTATTCTATTCTATTCTATTCTATTCTATTCTATTCTATTCTACTATATCTGCCACAAGTGGCCATTAGATGAACTGCACTTGATTTTTCAGCTCCACAGGTTCCTGCTTACTAATAACTGCTTTCCTTTGTGCATCTGCAGCTCACAGAAGAAAAAGAAATCACATTATAGGATAGAAAACAACTAACGATGATGGATTTTATTATTGGGAAAATTTTTAGATGTTTGTTAGATGACAAATGCCATGAGTGCTTCGTCATTGATCAACAATCTGTCCTCTCTTTCACCATCAGGGGACGGGCAGGTTGATTTTGAGGAGTTCATGACGATTCTTGGTCCCAAGCTCCTCTCATCTGAAACAAGAGAAGGCTTTCTGGGCAGCACAATCGATACCATCTTCTGGCAGGTAAATCTTGATTCTCTTTTACCTTTATTCTCTGTCACACATCTGTTTTGTTACCACTTCTGAGTCATGAAATGAACTGGATGTGATGATGAGACAGATGCTATATGTCTGAGCTGAAATATAAATGCAGCATCATTCTTCTACATCTTTGTTTTAACTGAAAACCAAGGAGCAGGATTTTTAAATCTCTTTACAAAAACAAAGCTGCATGTTGGTCCAGGAATGCTGTCCTCAGTCTACTGTTCTCAGCCTCCTGTTATGTTGCGGGTCAGATTGACCCAGAACAGAAGAGATGTCACATGTCATCTGCATCACTAAAGGAAACGGAAAAAAAAAAATCTAAATTATACAAGAAAATTGTAAAATAATCAATGCCAGGGTGTCTGACACTTTTGGATGAGTAAACATGCACCGGGTCAAATTGACCCAGGAACATAATTGGTGTTCCTGGAAACCAACATAACAGGCGGGTTAAAAAGTGTGGTCGAGTTTGTCTGGTTTCCTCTAGATCTCTCACATTACATTACATGATTGGTTACTACATCATTACGGTGCAAATGATGACCAACTGAAAAGGTACATTTTAATTTTAGTATTAAAGAATTAAAAAATAACAAAACACCAATGCCAAATTAACCTAATTACACTAATTAACTGTACTATGAAAGCAAAATAGAGCTCATATATATTCTACATCTTTAATGAAGCTGTGCAGAGTTTTAATTAGTTTTGCTCTTACGCAATCAACTCTGTGAATATATTTTAGATTTTATGTTCCCGAAAAAGAATATTTGTGTTAAAGTGACGACATCCTGGAGCAGCTAAATTGTGATGTGTCTTCTGTGCACTAATGGATTCTGCAGTGAAATACAGTCTTCTGAATTTAACTCCATTTCCAGATTTTTTCAATCCTTTTTTGAAGGGCAGTGCAAATATATATCCATCCATCTATCCATCCATTCCCGCTTATCCTTTTCAGGGTCGCGGGGGGCGCTGGAGCCTATCCCAGCTGTCATAGGGCGAGAGGCGGGATACACCCTGGACAGGTCACCAGTCTGTCGCAGGGCTGCAAATATATATATATATTATATATACTGATCTCCGTTGAGTTGTACTGTGACCGACTCACAGCATAAAGGGGTTTCAGAATCTGAGAACAGTAGTAAAAAATGTCTGTTTAAAATAGTTTTGCTTTGAGTGAGCTAGAGTGTTTAACACACACAGACACACAATAGAATGGAGGACAGAGCCTGAATGGGCATGTAGACAAATCTGGTATGTGTGAGAGAAAGAGCAGAGCATTTGGCACTGATAGTAACACTTGGCAAGCCTGCCCCCCTGATGTAATCATCAGCTTGACCCAGGCTTTTTCTCAGGGGAATGAGCTTGTGGTTTACACCGTGAGGACACAAGTCTTTAGAGGTATGAGTGCAGGACGGCAAATGTACTGCCAGCCACATTTGGCCGATGCAGTGACCTTGGCTTGTAAAGAAGAGCGGTTGGCTTGAAACAGTTTGTTTCATTTTTTTTTTTTTTCAACCCCTCAAGTAAAACTGGTTGTGGTTTACGGTTTGTTACTCCTGCACTAATAAACCCACATTTCAAGTCAAGACGAATGCCCAGACGCAGAAATCAAACACCTCATCAAATGTGTGGAGCACATTCAGAGGGAAAATGCACTGCAGACCATCTTTTATCATAATTATTTCTTCACTCACCTCACAGATAATTACTTGCTTGAGACATTACAATTTTGTGCCTAGTTTATTTTATTGTTAATAGTGTATAACTGAGCCTTATTCAAAGAATTTGCTTCAGTGTTCCTCTTTGAATACATAAGTGTTTTTTTTCCTAATTATTAGAATATTGGAGTAGATGTTGAATTTTTTACCTTGCATCCTAGTACCAGGGTGTTAAAAGTGATTTTTATGAAATATCTCAATAAATGTTGCATCCACTCTGCAGACAGTAACATGCAGTGTTTTGTGTTTGGTGGGACAATTGAAAAATGAAAATGATCTTAGCAATGCAAGTATGCATGGAGAAAAATAACACTATCGGCTCAAAAGCCTTCCCATCAGTTCAGCAGACGCTGAATAAACCATCAGCTGAGACAACTCATGCTGCTGGCTCATTATGTCCCACTCATTAAGATTCAGAATCAGCACTTCAAATCAACAGCTCTTACATGCTTAGAAAAATGCAATTCCTTTGTGGTCATAAACAACAGGATAAAAAAATATATCACATTCATTTAAAAAAGAAGAAAGAGAGAGAGAGAGAGAGACAGGGAGACAGTAGAAATGTTTTTTTTCCTTCTTGCTGACAATGATGCTTAATGCATTATAGTTTTACTCGCTGAAGATGCACAATTCAGTGCCATTAACAGGAAAGAAACATAATGACTATGTGAAATGCGAAAGATGTGGTAGAGATAAACCAAGAGCACATTATGAGTGTTTGTTGGTTTTTACTGCAGTAAAAATAGGCTGTTGAAGAAAATAACATCTGTTGTTTCAGCCCAACCATATTTCAATAGAAGTTGTTGGAGACAAAACAAATGCTAAGGAGAGTTGGTGTCAGATATAAACTGTAATCTTTAGTTCCAAATTAATGCTAGCTGTGATTTGCATCGGGCGTAATGTGCAAATCGTCAGAGAATGCAAAGTTTTTAGCCATAATAAGCTTTTTAGTTGAATTCCATCCATATTTTTTACCTAACTAGAATTGCAGGATGTTGGAGTCAGTCCTAGCTGGGCGACGAGCAGGGTACAGCCTGAACATGTGTAATACAAAGACGCTGACAGCTGTTCACACCAACAGCTAATTTAGAATCAACCTAATATGTTTTCAGACACGTGAGAACATGCAAACTCTACACAGCGGACCAAGAGGTACAAACCCATGGTATAAAATGACATTGCTAACCATTTCATTATGGTGCCAAGGTAAAGACCTTAAAATATTATGCAGCACAACCCAGTCTGGCAGAACCAGACTGAGGGAAGATGGTTAAGGTCTACAAAAACTAGAATGATAGGGAAGTCAAGAGAGGAGAGCAAAGACTAAAAAAAGAAGTAATAATAAAACAAATAAATGATATAGTAAGTCAGTCAGCTAATATGTAATTTTTATTTTCCCCATAATGGTAACTTAGAGAAACTGGCACAAGTATAGTTCAGGAAACAACAAAGTAAATATAATACTCCACTACATTAGGAAACGGTATACTGTATGTGCAAAGTTGGGCTTCAATAATGACATTCATAATTCTCATCATGACGTAAAACATTTAAAATTTTCAGTAGCTTTTAAAACCGTTGAATATATAACAGTTAAGAATAATTTCAATGATATAGACTCACAGCTGCAGATTTGTCAGTTTTATATCCATGAGGCAGATTCCCCAAAGCTCTGTTGAATGGAGATCTGTAGAGGTCATCTAAGTACATGGAGCTCATGCAGAAGAAACCAGTAGGAGGTGATTCGAGCTTTGTGACATGGTCCGCTAGTTTGCTAGAAGCAATGATCAGATTGGTACACTGTGGTCACAAAGGGATAGTTAGGTTTCACCATTTAAACGATGCTCACATGGTACCAAGGGGCCTAAAGTGCCAAGAAAATACCCCCCACACCAGTAGACCATCAACAGGATGAACCGCTAATAATAGACAGGATGGAGCCATGCATTCATGTTGCTCATACTAAATTCTGAGGCTATCCTCTTAATGTTGCAGAATAGCTCGAGACCCATCAGACCAGAGACCGTTCAAGCCCATCTGCTTGAGGGTTCAACATGTTGTGTGTTCAGAGACATACCGTGGTTGTAATAAATGGTTATTTAAGTTGCTGTTGCCTTCCTATCATCTCAAAGCATTTTCACCCAGAGAACTGCCACTGTCTGGATAATTCCTTTACCTCATTCACTATAAACTCTGCACATGGTTGTGCAGGAAAATGCCAACAGATCAGGAGCTTCTGAAATAATCAGACCAGCCTGTCTGTCAACAACAAGGATGTTATGCTTACCTTTCTTACCATTCTGATGTTCCGTTTTACATACTTGCACTGACCATGTCTACATGCCTAAATGAACTGAGTTGCTATCCTGTGATTGGCTCCTTAGACATTTGCAGAGAGTTAAGAGCCGTTGAAGAGAGGTACATAACAAAGGGGCTGGTGAGTGTAAGTTCAGGTATAACAGTGATGTCTGCAACTGAATAGAAATCTTTAAAATCTTTAGAATATAGTATGTAGTCCCATGGACTGGATCTGAGGAGTCAAGAAATTTGTTCTGCCTTTACAACCAAATAAAGCAGTCTCTGGCTGTATAGTATATGCTTACTATATGTTTCCCAGAACCTTTCCCAGACATGCTTTATATAACTTTTTATAATTATGCTTATAATTATTAGAATTAACATCCTTCAAATCTTGAACTTTACATTGATTTGACACATCTTAATAATTTGCTTTGATGGAAGCAATATATTCAATAATCGTGACAAGGAAACAACGTGCACAATACTGATAATATTTTCGCTGTAGGCGTTTTGTGCAACACTTAAAAAAATTCAGTTTTCAAAGCATTTTACGGGGTACACTTTCCTTCTTTGCCAGCATTTGTTTTCTGTGCTCGTCCATCAGAGCAGAGCGGGATTCGTTCAGCAGGAGTGTGACACAAGCACACCCTGCACTCAAATGAACCTTATATTTAGTTGTGGTTCAGTCCTTTTGAACCCTGAGAGTAGCTCTGTTCTTGACTTGGAAGAGAGATTTTTTCATTCCAGCGATATCAAGCAAAGTGTCACATCCTCACCAGCTGGGGTGATGGGATAATGATTCACTCGCTGTCACACACTCACTTTCCTACTCACCCGTATCTGCTCCTGAACAGTTTGTTAATGTATCTAATTATCCCATTGGATAATTATGAGCTTGTATTTTAACAACTGCAAACATTAAAGTTTTTTTTTAAGTCAGCAGCAGCAGCAGCCTGA